ATGGGAATGTGTATATGATCTAGAAACAGGTGCCGGTACTGGCTTTTGCTGTCCCATGAACTCTAAAGCTTTTCTTTCGGTAAGCTTAAGCATTAGCTTTATATTAAAATTAATTTTCCCAATTTATAACCACTTTAAATATTCTAGTTTCCACAATGGACTTACAAAGGTTTTGAGACAGCACCAGATATACATGCTAAGCCCATAATTCCAAGCACTCAAGCGGAAAGAGATTTATTGAAAGCTATGACCAATTTAACAAATAGAATATTATCGAGCACCGGTTCTAGAAGCTTGTTAAAGTATGTTATTTATTTGATAAATTTTATGAAGTGATTTTACTTTGAGATTAAGTTGTAATATTTATTACAATAGGATAAGGTCGCAACACCCAGAAATCTTCAACCAATTAAGTACTTATCACAAGGTAATCCAAATGCTATCGTCATATCACTATCGTTTACCCACACGGCGTATTATCAGCGAATTATTTGATGTAAATTTCACAAAAGAAACATTTGATCAACTCGATAAGCTTATGGCAGTACGTAATGGTTGTGATGGAGTTAATGGAATTTCAGATGATACATTAGCAGAAGATGGCGGTGGTACAGATGATGCAGATGCACAGCTACATAAGCAAAGAGTGGAAAATTTTACTAGGGTGCATCGTGGTAGCGATGGTGTTATTGCTGTTATGTCAGACGATCAGATGGATGGGAGTGCGGAGGAACCTGTTCCGAAACAAGATTTGTTACCTGTTAAAATTGTTAAAGGGTTTAATACTACGTGAACATTTATTTATTCTGGTTGTGAGCCACATTTTTTATAAACTATCTTGTGAATTTTTGTATAGTATTTATTATTTTAGTTATATGAAACAATTTTGGACTTTCATATATCCTTGAGTCGTCTTATTGAACATGGAGCGCGAAAACCATGAATTGGACAAAGTGTAGTAATGTGATTTATTCGCCAAATATACAAGAACTAACGATTCTATTTATATATATTATATATCATAGATTATTTTGATAGCACGATTATTACAATTTTTATTTTTTCGATTGTATAACATATATTCGCTATCATATTGTAACATATTAAAGTTATATCACGATCATTAAAAATATAAAGGAGAGAGGGTATTATGACGAAGGGGTATTATGGCGAATCGGGATATCTCATGATCCCGTGAACAGAATCGGACGAAACTTATACCATTCGATTCCTCTTGATGAGAGGAATCGAATGATATAAATTTCATTTTTTTTTTTTTTTTTTTTTTTTACAAATTTAAACATTTTAAAATTATTTCATTATTTTGTAATCCAAACAAGAGATTTTTACAAACCAATTCTTATTGCAGTATTGAGGAATTCGATTGATATAAAAAATCTGATCATTGAGTCACTAGATATTCATATTTAAAGTATGTAGAGAGGAATCGAGTGGTATAAATTTCATTCGGTTATAACGAAATACCCCGATTCACCATAAGCTCCTAACACAAAAAAATCTTTTATTTTTAGCAAACTTCATTCGATTCAGCCCAATGAGGCGAATCGAATCAAAAATTAACTTACTTTCAAATTTAGCTTATATATGCAATATATCTTTTGCATATTTTATGTATTTTTTGCATATTTTTATGCACCTCTTGCATATTTTTATACTCCCCTTGTATATTTTTATGCATCCCTATATTTTTATTCACTTCTAACATATTTTATACATCTTTTGTATATTTTACATATTTCATATATATTTTGCATATTTTATATATTTTTTGTATATTTTATGCATCTATTAGAAAATTTTAAAATTAGATTATAATCATTTAAAATCTAAAGATTTTAAACAATTTTCATTATCACTATTAATTAAAATCAATTTGATTATAATCAATATATATAAAAATAAATTATTGTTATTAATTAATATATAGATTTATTTTTTTTTTAAATGTTAAGGTGACCACTTTGGGGTTTGGCACATTTTATTTACAATCTGAATCAAGCATCAGCTTGGTCTTGTTGACCTTACTTGACTTTGTTATACTGATAAGAATACAATTGGTCGCATATATAACTTTAGTTATTGCCTATTTAAGGGTTCTGCTATATCTATTTTTATTTATAGTTACTCACAAATTGTCATATCTAAGATCTGCTTGTAGATCCCCTATTTAAACCCTCTGATCAATTTCACGTCGTCATGTTGTTTTCATCACTGTCTAACTACTGCTAAGGCCCTTAGAACTAATTTATTCTCATAGTAAATCTGCTAGAGTTTTTCATACCTACAATCCGGCTAACCTAGTCTTCAGTAACTTATACCCTTGTCTGAGAACAAGTACTTGTGAGCTGAGCACTAGTCGAAAGGGTGAAATTTGACTCCAAATCAGCCAGAAATTGGCCAAAATTTGATCACAAATCAGTAGTTGATTGGCAAATTTTAGTTGAATTCAGGTTGAATCGTCCAAAATGATCGATCTAAATTCAATCCAAAAAACACTAGAAAAAAAAAAAGTAGTTGATTGTTTAAATCAGTAGTTGATTATAGACTGATTGTTTAAATCGATAGCCGATTATAAACTGATTGTTTAAATCGGTAGCTGATTATAGATCAAATGCTTAATTTTAATATTTGTTATAAAATTAGATACCGAATTTAAGCTGAATGTTATAAACATTCAGCCTAAATTCGGTACCTGATTTTAGGTCAAATATTAAAATTAAGTATTCGACCTATAATCGGTTATCAATTTAAACAATTGGTTATCTTTTTTTTTTTTCTGATATTTTTTGAATCGAATCTAGATTGATCATTTTGGCTGATTTAACCTGAATTTGACTAAAATTTGCCAATTAACTATCGATTTGTGGTCGAATTTTAGTCAATTTCTGGCTGATTTTGGGTCGAATTTCATCTTTTCGACTAGTAAAGACCATTACTATTACTGTTGCCCTTGCAAAGTTTACCCAAATCCCAGCACACACTTTATAGATTATTACCAGTATCTCCAACTATCCTAAACTACCAATTCAGATGTCTCAGAAAAGCTGTGACCTGCTCTTGGTCCCTATGGTTGGGTTCTTTTTCTCTAGTACTCTGGTGGTCTGGTTGGTAGAGTATTTTGCCAAACACTTCAGTTCTATTCAGTTTTTGCTAGTTCTTCTGATAATAATCCTTTACATAATACCATCAAAGATCTGTGCTATCTCTCTACTCAGATCTTGCCAAGTGGGCATCCATCTTTCTGGTTTCTTGTGTTAATATGATCTGTGAACATATTCATATAACTCAAACATTATACAAATATTCTATAATCTTCTAATCTTGTTGGTACCGCCAAGGTTATAGAGATCCTGTTCCAACCAATCGTTGAAAGACAGTAGCTATCATACAAGTAAAGTATTTGAAATTCGTCACCAGTAGATTTTGAATCCCCTATTTAGCTAACATGCTGCTTGGGGTGCGACAACTTAACCACTTAATTTAATCACTTCACTAAGTCATCATACCTTTATATATAGATTTATATTATTTACTATTATTATCAATTTAATATAAATTAATTATCAATATTATCATCAATTATAATCACTTAAAATTTATTAATTATAATCAATTAATAGTTTGTAATTTTTTTTACTTAGGCTATCTTGCTAATGATTCTTTATTAAAATTATTTTGTTATAGGCATAATAAAATATTTAGTTTAATATTTTTGTTTAATATTCTGCAATTATTTTAAAAATATTTATAAATAATCAGTTGTATTAGAATAATTTTCTCATAAGTTATATCCATAATCTAAGTTAATATAATCTAGAAAACTCATATCAGATCATTATCCTATAATAGAATATCATTAATCTAATAGCATCTTCTTGTAAAAAAATGAAAAAATAAAAAAATACTAATATTAATATTAATATAGTACCGGACAACAAGAAACATCCACTTTTTATATATAAATATAAAAATGCCTATAACTTACAAACAAATGAATTTGCCGGGAAAACTCGAGACCCTGTAACTGTGGTCGTACCAATTCATCAGAACTGGAAGATCTTGGGGCCTTTGTGTAATAGAGGGTTACACGAATATGCACCAAATCGTAGAAAGCCACAGGGCCGATACGGCGGTGGGGCACTCGCTTGGCAAGTCCC